ATAAGAGCAAGCTCTATTGCCACTTACAGCTGGCCATTTGTTTTATGGCACTGATTACTATCTTGACTTAAATTAAGTTTTATACAGGGTTTCACCGTGAGCTCACTGTAGTTTAAAGCATCATTTTTGAAAGCTTGCAAAGGCAACGAGGCTATGAATTATAATACAGCTTTCATTAATCTGTCCTGAGGCAAGCAAAACACAACTCCATCTTTCCCTAGCGGGAGCAAAATGTACACAAATCAAATTTGATACCAAATCAGCTCAGGTTCAGCGTTGTTAATCAGCATACATGCACACAAACACACGCACATATGCACAAATACATACAATATGCAAATATGACTGATATTTCCCTCACCGGTAAGTTTAAGTGCTTGAAATAAGATGGATGAGGAGAAACATGTTGCATAGCCCCATGGTGAGAAAGGCAGCAAATAAATTTAATAAATAAATGATACCTGTTGTAGAGGTAGATTGATTTGTTTAAGAAGGGCTCTCATTGCCATTTGGAGCTCAAAAAAGAGTCGAGTTGGACACTCGGCAGAATGATCCATATTTTCCATAGATTCTGAGCCAGAAAGTCTTTGGATCCATTCCCATTCCTCTCTGTATAGGGAGTGAAGTTAAAATTAGAAATATAACAAAAGTTCATTGCACAAGGAAGAATTTACTGAATGTACATTTGGGCTTTGTTGGGGTTTCTGTTCTCAAATAGTAAAACCTTTTAAACTTGTAACAGGCCCAATTGTTTGTGGTTAAAAAAAGGGGCCAGCTTTCTGATTTCATTCTGCGGGTGCATCTCAAGCTGAAGACTTTCTTTGACTTGCAGGCTGTTCCATATTTCTATAACTTTTAATGCGCATTCCTAGGGGTCTTAAGTGGGCAGGCGGGCTCAATTTTCTCATTAACTCATTTAATTTCTTCATTTGGGTGTAGCTAGCCTGGTTTTTATTTCTCCTCTCTTTTTAAGATAGAAGACATAAAGCTGAAACAAGCGGATTGTTGGAATGTGTATACTTTAATCAGAGGTGGGATTCAGCAGGTTCTGACCAGTTCTGGAGAATCGGTAGTGGAAATTTTGAGTAGTTTGGAGGATGGGTAAATACCACCTCTGACTGGCACCACCCCATCTATTCTCTGCCTCCCGAGTCCCAGCTGGTCAGGAGGAATTGGGGATTTTTGCAGTAACCTTCCCCTGGAGTGGGGAGGGAATGGAGATTTTACAATATCCTTCCCCTGCCACATCCACCAAGCCACGCCTCCTGCCACGCCATGCCCACAAAGCCACACCCATTGAACCAGTAGTAAAAAATTTTGAATCCCACCACTGACTTTAGTGTAGTGGTAGACAGAAGCATCTACAGTACAAGAAAAAGGGGAATGAGGCAAGTACCACCCATTTTCTATATTTATCGTGATGTTACCTAGCATCTGAAAGGGGCAGAGATTAAGGTACAACACTGTGATGTTGCCTTGCTCAACAAGTAAGTGCCATGGGAAGACCTACGTGGGTCTTTAGGTAGGCAAAACAAATAAGCCCAGCATCTCTGCAAGTCTGTCTGTCTGTCTTTGATAATTACCCATTCAACAGGATTTACAATAAAAGGGCTAATTAGTCCCTGGGTGAAGGCAAGTAGGAACTGTATCCCTGCATCTCACTGTTGAGATATGAAGTTGGCTATTTCTTTCTTTACTTGTCAGGTTCCATTAGTCTGGCTGATTGCTGCAAACTGTGTAAATAAATGATAGATGAGGATAAGAAATCTTGATATTTGTGCCCTGATATTTGTAATGATGAAAAATGTTCTCAGAGATCACCATTCCAATGGGAAAGCAAATTCACAGAATGAGTGAGTGAGTAAGGGAATCCAGACCACATCAACTCAGAAAGCAAATTCTAATCAGCATGACTGGGAGATGTTTCTCCACTTACCTGGACACATTGCAATTGTCTCGGATTTTAACGTGACACAGAATGTTGGGCAGCTTTTGTAGCACAAGAACTTTGATCTGATCGACGGAACTGCAGAGTTTTAAGTAGCCCAAATAAAGGCCTGGAGCCAGACGCTGTTGGCTCCTTCTGTGATAGGAAAGTATGTCCTTGGAAGAAAAGGAGAAAAAAACAGGTTAAAAAATTTCCTTGACTTTTCTTCCATATAAAAAAGTAAAGGAAGGAGGAAAGGAATAAAATACGGTATTGCCCAAGCAGTGGGCAATATTTTATTTATTATTATGGTTTGTTGCTCAGTCAGGATGTTGTTTGATGGGTGTTAAAGGTATTGTCACCTTTATTATGGTTCATCACACTATTAATGTTATTAGTGATAGTTGTTGTAATAGTAGCAGCAGTAGAAGCAGAAGTACTTCCCTTTGTTTTTTAAATCCCATGCTTTGTTCCTTTTATCTATACATTTTATTAAAAGTTTTAAAGAGAAAAATATAAACGAACACAAACTAATACAGAATGAAGAGAAAAAAAGAGAGAAAAGTGCAGAAAGCAACAATAAAAAAATAATACAAAGCTTCTGATTTCCTTTGCAGTAAATACAAGAATAATTACAAAGTTATCTCTTACTCTATGATTATAAAAGAGAAAAAAAGCTTCAAGTCCTGTGTTTTGTTACAAACTAGGCGTTTAATGGCCCCACTGTCACTGGAATTCAAGGGAGTAATCCTTCCAATTTATAATTGGAACATTTTTCTTCTTCCATTTAATCATGTTCAATTCTTGGAGACTGCCTAGATTTGTGATGGTGAACCTATAACACACATGCCACAGGTGGCACGCAGAGCCCTCTCTGTGGGCATGCCAGCCGTGGCCCAACCCAGCTTCACTGTGCATGTGCTTCCCACCAGCCAGCAGGTTTTCAGGTCTCTGCCATCTATATGTGGGGGTGGGGTGCATGTAGATGACACATGTGCACATGCGCCCCAGCCCCGCACATGCATGGTAGAGACCTGTTTTGGCTTCCAGGTCCAAAATGGGGCGTGGGGTGTGTGTATGTGTGGTGGGGTCGCACATGCATGTGCAGGGCTGGGGCGCATGTGCACACGTGTCATCCACATGCACCCCACCCCCACATATGGATGGCAGAGACCTAAAAACCTGCTGGCTGGTGGGAAGCACATGCACAGTGAAGCTGGGTTGGGCCACAGCTGGCATGCCCTCTGCGTGCCACCTGTGGCATGTGTGTTATAGGTTCACCATCACAAATCTAGGCAGTCTCCAAGAATTGAACATGATTAAATGGAAGAAGAAAAATGTTCCAATTATAAATTGGAAGGATTACTCCCTTGAATTCCAGTGACAGTGGGGCCATTAAACGCCTAGTTTGTAACAAAACACAGGACTT